AGTGGATTCTAATTTAGTGAGTTGAGAATGATCTCTTTTTTAGGAAATTATCGAATGATCGAAACTAGTCCTCATTGGTAGGTCGAAAATGGCACATTTTAATCATTCAAACGTAGGCATGTGTCTATCTACCACACAAAAACAAAAACTTGAGGGAAAGCTTGGTGATAATATTGATGAATAACTAAGTGCTTGAATGAAAGTCTTGGATGGAATAGACATAAAATTTGGCGACTAGTGATGGAGGCAAACTAGATTAGCATTGAAGATGGGTGGTGGAATACATGGATTTGGAAGAAGATGGCTTAGTCCATGTAGCAATGATCTCATTATAATTGTAGCTATATCATTTTATAATATGTTTTAAATTGCTTGCAATTATGCAATTAATTTTTTTTAGATTAAAAAATCAATAATGATATTTTTTATTCAAATATCAACCTAAATATTTTACTTCTAATTACAATGATGATGCACCTACATGGAGGAGTAGGTGATCCCTCATCGCACGTGCAAGCAAACACTGTAGTCTCACATCATAAAGATATTGTCATGCGCATAATGTACTATGCTATGCGAGCACCAATAATGATTATACCACATAAAAAATTGGGCAATGATTTCATTTATGCTCGGCCAAGCATAGCATTAGTACTTGTGACTTTTGCAAATAAGCATAGATCATTAATTCTAATAAAGTATTTAATTCAATACAATAGATATCAATTTTACGTTTCAATAGAAGAATTACAATGCTGCCTCCTTGTGAAAGTATGTACAAATCATAGACCAAATGAACAAAAATAACTGAGCTATGCTCTCATCTATGGGATTATTTGCTCAAATTATGATTGGATTTAAAATATCGAGTTGGCTAACGAGCCAATTTGCGCTTGAATCCAATTTAAATATTTCGCCTGACCGTGAAAAATATTATATTTGGCCTAAACTTAGGCTTTAAATCAAACACTAACCAATGAATTCAAATACATGTTCCTTTAGAAACACAACCCCTGATTAACTACAATAAGAAAAAAAAAAA